CCTTAGCAGATTTCAGCTTACTTTGCGTATCCTGTAGCTTCTTTACTTCGAGCAAGATTCCTGTGATTTCTGACTTGATCTTATCTCTCTTCTGGCGCATTTTTCCGAACGCATCAGTAGCAACAGTACCCAAGTCTTTCACTCTGAGTATCATATCATTGATTTCATCCATTGATTCTTGCCAATCCCTCAGGAGGCCTGCCTTCTTTCTTCCGTCGTTAATCCACAAGTCCTTTGGTTTGCTCAAGGCAGAGTTATTCATGTAAAATACATTTTTTTCAGAAACCGTCCATGGTTTGAGAGATTCCAGATCAAAATTAGCTGAAGAGACTGAACAGTTGGTGAGGACAACTACGAGGTTGTTCAGAAGGATGTCTGGTACAGAACTTCTCAAACGAACCAAAGTGTTCCGCAGGTTTACAGTAGCTCTAGCCACCGTACCATTTATGACAATGATAATACAGGCCATAGATCCACTTTTTTCTGCAGCAGTCATTATTTTTGTAATATGCTGGTCATCTCGTTCTGTTCCTTCGGTATCACTGAGACCGGGGGTGTCGATGAAGTTGTAATGACGATTAGATTTTGTGAAATCGTAAACAGTGCATTCACTAGTCTTGCTCTTCTTTGCATCGTGAAGATCTTTCTCAGAGGATTGATACTTCTCTGTCGCCTCGTAGTGTTTGGTAGGAATAGCGATTCTTGGTTCTTCAAGCGATCCGCCTTTGAAATAGTTTGTCAGATAGTTGATCAGTGTCGATTTCCCTGAGCCTGTTTCTCCAATCAAGAGGATGTTCTCGGAGAGCATTACCATTTTGCTCGAAAAACCTGTAACGGGATTAATGATTCATTATGAAAACGGGACCAAATTCAAAGTTCTATTTATGCATGAGAAATCGTCCACATAGAATTCGTTTCTTACAAAGATCTAAGGCAAAAGAGACCAAAATATTCTTGGATTTGAAAAATGAATGTACAAAGGAAGGTTTAGGTTCTGTTGTTTGCAAGTCTGAGATTATAATGAGGGCTTGGTTTTCAAAAGTTCATTCTATGATGCTCAATAACAAGAAATTCAGATTTCAATGTCGGTCCTCAGATCAAACCTCTATGAATCTCATCTCTCAATTTTAAGAACCTCACATTCAGATATAGAAGATTAGACTCAAACGCATCCAACCAAGATAGTTAACAGAATCAAGTATATAGGCTAGAAATGACCGGGTACAATTCGAAACCGTGTAAAACAGAAATTATTGAAACGAAAATTTTAGATTTTAAGATGACCATTTCTATCAATGATGAAGACTAATGGTATATATATGTGTTTGACTGGCTCAGTCGTATATATGGAACTATTAATTTTTTATATTTACGACTAAGCCAGTCAAACACACCATTTATGACAAGAATAAACCCTGTGTCACAAGTGTGTGAAGCTCAAGAAAATGACATAAAAAAAAGTCTATTTTACAAAAAAGTAATTATGTGAAATGTACATTATATGTCTTCTTATAAAGGTTTATTAACTTGTCCATCATCTCACTTATTTACTTTTTCTGATTTTCGTAGTTAAACTACAGTAGACTGAATGTGCACGACAGTTAACGTGACTTTTGTCCAAAAACCATACTTCCAAGCAACGCTCATCCTTCTTCACATCCTATCTCATTTATCATATTATTAACTTCCTGCAAACAAACAGAGTCACGTCATTCAATGAATCAAAATTGTCAATTTAGAATCCAGAACTTTCGTTTCAATAATTTCTGTTTTACATGGTTTCTTACTGTACTCGGTCATTTCTAGTCTATATAATTGATTCTGTTAACTATCTTGGTTGCATGCGTATTAGTCTGATCTTCCATATCTGAATGTGATGTAGTTTCCGTTTCGTTTTTATAATGACTTATCTTACCTCATTACAGATTTTTCAAGTCATGGTCTCCGAATATAACATCCTGTTGATTGGAGAAACAGGCTCCGGAAAATCGACACTGATCAACTATCTGACAAACTATTTTCATGGAGGATCACTTAAAGAACTGAGAATTGCAATTCCTACCAAGTACCATAAGGCGACCGAAAAGTATCAATCCTCTGAGAAAGATCTTTACGATGCAACCAAGAGCAAGACCAGTGAGTGTACTACTTATGGTTTCAAGAAAGCTAATCGTCATTACAACTTCATCGACACACCGGGTTTGAGCGACACAGAAGGAACAGAGAGAGATGACCAGCATATTTCAAAAATTATGATTGCTGCAGAGGAAACTGAATCTATGGCAGCTATTATTCTTGTCATGAATGGTACAGTAGCTAGAGCAACCGTAAACCTGCGGAACACTTTGGTTCGTTTGAGAAGCTCTGTACCAGACATCCTCCTGAATAATCTCATAGTTGTCCTCACTAACTGTTCAGTGTCTTCAGCTAATTTTGATCTGGAATCCCTCGAGGGTTGGACAGTGTCTGAAGAAAATGTATTTTACATGAATAACTCCGGCCTGAGTAGACCAAAGGAGTATTGGATGAGTAGCATGATAATGACTGCAACTTTTATTAGCAATTGGCGAGAATCAATAAAGGAGATTAACAGCATATTGTTAAGAATGGAAAAGCTGGGTTCTGTTGCTACTAATGCGTTTAGAGAAATGCGCCAGAAGAGAGATAAGATCAAGTCGGAGATCACAGGGATCTTGCTCGAAGTAAAGAAGCTACAGGATACGCAAAGTAAGCTGAAATCTGCTAAGGAAGCTCACAAGGAAGTTACTGAAAATGTGGAGAAG